GCTGGCCAAGGCGGGCAAGCGGGTGTTGGTGCTGGAGCAGCACGGGAAGCTGGGGGGCTGCTGCCACACCTTCACTGAGAAGGGCTTCGAGTTTGACACCGGTAAGTGCCCTGCCAGCATCTGGGGTCCCAAGTTCACCCCTGGCTGAAAGCAGGGCAGGGGATTGGGGAAGGGGGTGGGGAGTTAAGGGGGGTGGTGCCTGTGGTGGGAATCGCACCCAGAACGCCGGGAGGGACCCAGAGCGGGTGTCCCCAGCACCCGCCCCGGTTATACAAGTGTTATGCAAGTGCTATCGCACACCTCCCCGCACCCCGAAATCCTCCTGCTGAAGGGGCTGCCAGTCGTGCCCTGTTGCTGGAACATCAACCCCCCATAAAATTCCCCATAACCCAGCTCAGATCTTACAAATTTCTTATAAATAAAAATACAGGGGATGTCACCTCAGAGCACATCTCCCTCGGCCAAATCCTTCCAGCAAGACAAAGTCCAGCTCTGTACATCCCTTCGAGCTGCACGGGATTAATTATTTACAGTGATGTAGAAAGGAAAAATACAGATGTGTAATGGAATTCCTCAAAACTGCTTCAAAACATGACAGCAAGCGCTTCGTTTTCCCTTTGACCTGAAGAGGGAGGCGGGTGTTTCCCAGATTTTCCCTCTCCCCTCCGTAGGGAGCTGCTGGGGTGGGAGGTGAAGAGATAAGTGTCCCGGGGGTATGCTATGGGGTGTAAAAAAAAAAAAAAAGGAAAAATCCCTCCCAAAATCAACCAAAATTACATCTTTCAGGTATCCACTACGTGGGGCAGATGGCGGAGAATTCCATCATGCGCTTCGTGGTGGACCAGCTGACGGAGGGGCAGCTGGAGTGGGCTCGGCTGCCGGCTGTCTACGACGCCGTGGTCTTGGGGGAGCCCGGTCACGGCAGGACGTATCGCATCTATTCAGGGAAGAAAGAATATTTCCAAGCCTTGAAGGAGCAGTTTCCTGGGGAAGGAGCTGCTATTGATGAGTTCGAGCAGCTGGTGAAGGTAGAGGGAGGGGATGGGGGTTGTTTGGGCTCTGGTCCCCCTCTACAGGGTCACGCAAGGAGGGAAAATTCCCACCCTCCCCCCATGACACCCAGATATTGGGCAACTGCAGAGAATAATGGTGTTGCACCACCCACCCCGAGCCAGCCCTAAAGCATTGAGAAACATCAAAAATCTCCCTTTTCTGCCTCAAAACCCCAGCGCCAGCACCCTGAGTTTTACCCCAGCTCCCCGAGGCTGCTCCTGGCCCCATCAGATGTGCCGCGGCCTCGTGAGCCCCGACACCCCCCTCTGAGCACCGTGGGGTGATGCTCCAGGACCTCCCGGCCCTCGGGGTGATTGCAGTCATCGGCAGAACAGTGCCAAATTAACATTAATTATGCTTTGAAACCTCCACAAAGCCCGGGAGCCTCTGCCACGAGGGAGATGGGGGGCGGGGGGGGGGGCAGGTGCTCCCCTTGCCCACAGCTCCCCGGGATGCAGCACCCAAGAGATGCTGCCTCCTCTCTGCCAGCCAAGCTGTAAATTTAAGGGGAAAAAGATGCTTTCGAGCATCTTTCAAGCCCACCGCAGGGCTGTGGGCAGGTCCCCGGCGTTGGCTGCTCAGCACCAGGCTCCTCTCCCGCAGAGCACCAGCGGAGGGACGGTGTGGTTGATCGTCTTGAAAATGATCCCGCGGGCTCTGGCCATGCTGGTGGCTCGCTCGGGGCTGCTGTGGCTCAGCCCCTTCTGCCGCCTGGTGCCACGCAGCCTCAAGGAGGTGGTGGACGGTCTCACCACCAACCGCGAGCTCCGGGCCATCTTCAGCTACCTCTTCCCCACCTACGGTAGGTAGCCAGGAGGCTCCGGGGCACCGAGGAGGTGAGGTTAAACCCTTTAGAAACTAAAAAAACCAACCCCAAGAAAAGCCGTTTTAATTTGCTTTTATAAGGGCGATGGCTGTTGTGGTTTGTGGGTGAGGGATGCTGCGTTTGTGGATGCTTTGCCAGCAGCCTTGTCCCCACGCCGGCGGCTGGTTGCCCCCATGTCCCCATTTCTCGCCGTCACCTCTTTCCCCCACGTCCGTCAGCTTCACGGCGCGGCAGCATCCCTCCTCTTCTGCAAGGGAACACGTACCCACCCTTAACCTCGTGCTGGCACCCACCACCCCGGACTTGCCGTAACCCTTTTGCCCTGAGCCTTCCCCTTCCCATCCTCCCGCCCGCCCCACGGGTTTGGGGGGTCCACCCCAATGACTCAGCGGGCACAGCCCGATTTCCAAAGAGCCACCGACTGCCACGGGGCCACCCACATCTGATGCCCTCCCTGCTCCTCTGGGTGCCAGTGACCCATTGTTTCTCACAGACATCCATCCTTACAGCATTGTGTCCAGCCAAGGACAGGGCGTTCCTCATCCTAAAAACTTCAGGAGAAGCCACAAAACCACGACTCGGCACTAACTGACCTCACGCTGCTTTTTTTTTCAGGTGTGGTCCCCTCCAAGGCCAGTTTCTCCATGCACAGCATCCTCGTGAACCACTTCCTCTGTGGCGCGTGGTACCCTAAAGGTGGGTCCGGGGAAATCGCCTTCCACACCATTCCTGTTATCCGGAAAACTGGAGGCAACGTGCTGGGAAAGGCGCCGGTGCAGAGGATCCTGCTGGACCCCCAGGGCAAAGCCTGCGGTGAGCCCCGGCACGGGACGGGGTGCATGTGGCTTCTTCCCGATGCAACACTGCTGTTAACCGGGGCTGTTCCGCCCCTCCTCGCCTTTCCCTTCCAGGCGTGAGTGTCAAGAAGGGCCAAGATTTGGTGAACATCTTCGCTCCCATCATCATTTCGGATGCCGGGATCTTCAACACCTACGAACGGCTCCTGCCGGCGGAGGCGCGGGCGTTGCCTGGTAAAACACGGCAGCGTTGGGTTTCATTGGGGTTACAGCCACAATCCCCCTCCAAGCCACACCAAAAGCAGCTTCTTTATAACTGTTTCTTAGACATCAGCAAACCCCTGTCCTTCGTGTTCAAAACACCATCCCTAGCCACACATTTCTTCTCAGGGTTTTTAATCAAGTCTCAATTAATTTTCCAAAGCTGGCCATACAGTTGTCAAAGCCCTGGCTTGCTGCTCGTTTTCCCTAAAAACCACAGCGTAGTACCCCGAAACTTGTGAAATTTGGTCAAACGTCCACTTAAAGTTGGGCTTAGTGCTGCCTCAAAATCTTCTTGCTGATTTGGAAGGGGCGCGGTTGGGTGGGAGCTTTCTGCGCAAATATGGTCTACAACCATTCAGAATTTGCAGAGCAGCGGCGCGTTTGAATCCGAGGTCATTAATAACAGCAAAAGCTCAAGCCAAGGGTGCCCTAAACCAGCCCCTCTCGGCAAGCACAGCACCGCTGCCCTAGTTTGCAGGAGTTGCCACCCACCCCTTGAGCACACATGGGATGTTTCGAGATAAACCAGTTTTACAAGCCAGCATGGGAGCAGCACAGGTACAAGGAGGGCTGCTTCTAGGAGAAACCGCTTCTCCATAGCTGAGGATCCCAGAAAATACTTATTTTCTCCTTCTTCCCTCTGTATTACAGAGATCCAGTCTCAGCTTCGCATGGTGGCACACGGTGAAGGGGGTTTCACCGTCTTCGTAGGTCTTAACGGCTCGCGGGAAGAGCTGGGGCTGGAGCCCACCAACTACTTCATATACGCAGGAGATGACCTGGATGAGATGTAGGTTTGGCTTCACCTTACGTGTGCTTCACTAAGCATAAGGAGATAAATTCCTGGGTGGTGACTCAGAAAATGCTCTTGGCATATTCTCACTGCATGGGGCTTCAACCGTAACAAGTATTCAGGGAAAGGTTTGCCACCAAAACTCACTTCAAACCTTTGCATCTCTCTGCAGAATTAATCGCTACCTGGCGTCTTCCAGAGAAGAAGCTGCCAAGAACATCCCTCTCCTCTTTGTCACCTGCCCATCATCCAAGGACCCCACCTGGGAAATGAGGCACCCAGGTAAAGGCTGAAGCCCAACCACAAACACTTTGCTTGAGAACGGGTTGGTCTTACAGAATCAGAATCCCAAAATCCTCTGGGTTGGAAAAGCCCCTGCAGCCCCTCCAGCCCCACCATGACCCTCCCCCTGACCCC